AAAGCATGATTGATAAAGGCAAGAACAAGCACAGCGCCTACTGGCATTTTGGAATGTGGGTGGTGACATTTGGAATACAAGTTGTAGCACGTTAACGATATAGCAGGAAGGGCCGGCTCTGCTAAAAGAAGGATGTCACAAACTCAAACAATTAAAAATTTCCCGGTTCAGCCAAAAGATTTTACTTCCTATTTGCTATCATTGGCGTCCTCTCTCACACGATGATTCGTAAAATTGAAGTTGCAACCCTCAGTCGTTTAATATCACCCCGACAACAGTACCAATAGCACAAATATCCTCTAAATACAACAATAGCGACAGACATAACGAGGGTGATAGCTCTAGTTTAGATCATATAAATGAATACGCAGAGTCTACTTTCAACAAGTGAGCATCCACATGGATGGTGTCTTCAATCCAATTTCATCATCTATGTGTCTGTATGTGTCCATAAACAAGCAGAAATCACCACAGATACAGTATTTGGTCCGAAGAAGAACACCAAAAAGCTTACCAATGCAGAATTCATGAACCCTCCAGACCTCTTATCTGGGGAACCAAATTCCACATCATTCTCCAGCATTTTCTCATATGGAGTCTTGATATCATTCGGCCTTGTAGTCGTGTACACCACCCTCTTCGTGGGGCTCATGCTACGCAGCAAGGACTCTGATTCCTGCAACTTAGTATTCATCTCACTCCCCGCAACACCCAACTCAGCACCCTTCAACTTGAACATTATATGGACCCCATCAACCTCCACCTTCCGCACCTGATTACTGTTAATCTTACTCAAAAACTCACTATACGGAACACTCACAAACGAAGTCGGAGGCCTAGGCTCCGAACCAGGTAAGGGAATCCCAGGGCGAAGCAGCTTCATGACAAACAAAACGATACCTAATTGCAACAGCAAAACCCCAATTTCCTGTGCTTGAATTATTGGTTGCCATTGCCATTTATTGTTCCCCTTGGACCAACACCAATTCCCTTTCCCTTGCTTCTCCCTCCTCGAAGAACCAGTACCGGACCCAGAACCCGGGCCCGGAGTCGAACCACTTCTGGTTTCACTAGTTTTCGTTTCCCCTTTATCAGCAGAATCGGTGTCGTGCTCACAAGAACTATTGGCCCGAACTCTGACACTATCTCTGAGCTTTTGGAGCTTGGAACAAACTCCCCAGAGATTTATCGGATAGAATTCGAACGAAGACCTAGATTGAGCTCGACAGGACGTCGAATTGAGCGTGAAGGAAAACAAATTTGTGTTTATCGCTCCGTATCTGTTACACAAGAAACTGTGATGATATAAATATTTGAGATTAGGATTATAGTTGATGGAAATTTGACTGTGAATAATGGGTCGTAAAGGTTCGAGCGGAGCGGCCATATCCGAGCCCAGAAGAAGAAGCAGAGGTTATCAAAGTGAAAACACAGAAACCATATGTGTATATACGTACAGCAAATAGAGAGAGGGAGAGAAAGGGAAGAGGGTAAACGATCCAAAGTTTGAGAGAATCTATTTAATGGTGGAGGTGAGATTGAGAAAGAGGTAGAAGCAGGGGCGTAGGCCGTTGGATTGCCGGGAGAGGCGGTTTCCGGCTGTAGAATTAGACCTGGGTTAATAGTTAATACTACTAATATATATATATATTTCTTTCGCGATACCCCTCTTTTGTTAGTTTGTCTGGGCATGTCGCATTTAAATAAAAATCTTAGGGCGTTTATAATCTTTGATCTGTATTTATGCGTTTACACTGTAGTTGTGGCGTGCAAAGGATCGGGGGGGGAGGGTGTGCTAATTTTTTCCTTTTCTCTAAGGGAAAAAATTGGATACTGCGAGTCAAGACATTAGACGAATTTCTAGGATCATTTATCAATACACTATTAATAGATATTTATAAATCATCCGTCAATATATTATTAATATTAATATTTATATTGGCAACGTAATTTAAATACTCCCTCCGTTTCATTTTGATAGTTCTATTTCTTTTTTCACACAGTTTAAGAAAAAGTAGTTAATTTTGTTGGAAAAATAAATTTAAATTGCTATTTTCCTAAAATACCCTCACATTAAATATGGTACAACTTTACGGGAACTTGAATTGATGGTAAAAAAAGAATCAACTCTCATTAAATGGAATAGGTTTATAGTAACAACTACTTACATTGAATAAGGATATTTTAGAAAAATTAAAATACAACTACATTCTTCAATTGGGAAGTGAACTATAATTTGAGACAGATGAAAAGGGAATACAGAACTATCAAAGTGTGACGGAGGGAGTATATCAGATTGACTTCTTGACTTACCTTATCAATCAACGAATTGATATCAATGCAGTATTTACATCAATAGTAAGACTCGAATGCATTTGTTTTTTTTTTTTTTTAATTTTAGTGGAGTGATTTGACCTTATCAAATCAACTAATTTGCATTTACAATCCTGTGCTACTGCGTGCTAATAAATGGATTGTGAGGACAACTTGGGCAGATTTTGTTGGCTTGCTGTTATTGACATTTTGTGGAGCGGGGGATTGTATGACGACCACAAGTTGCTTTTGCCTGAGTTGGATTTTTCGCATGGCGAGGGCCATCGTCTCTCGTATCTACAAATTGTTTGACGTCGATCGTCGAGGAGATGATGATGATATTTCCATTCTTTTTTCGTTTTTGGCTTTCTTTCTGTCGTTCGTCGTTTGAGAAGAAGTTTTCCCGGAATTTGATTGCCAGTTTGTTGGTCCGCTCTTTTCTTTTTCAGATTTTGTGGATATTCATGGTTGGAAATATTCTCAAAAAATCTTTCGGCTTCTATACGATACGGTCGTCTGCCATGGCCCATGAAATGATAAAATCTTATCTCGTGGCACGTGTAATAGACAAGATGCATACGTGAATAAATTAGATGGAGTTATTTCGAATTTCTTCTGACTTTCTATGTAGTGTGATTGAGGTGAAACTTTCACAATCTCATGAATCTACAAACCAAGAATGCATTCTTTCTTGTGGGCTTGTACATTAATTAATCATGTGGTCTATGAAAAGAAACCGTTAATTGATTATGGAAGAATCAATAATGACAAACTACTGGAGAACCAAATACAACTACATTTTTCGCTCAAGGAGAAAAATAAAAAGTCATCGTTATATGCATGGGAAGGGGAATAGAGTTGAATTAGCGTGCATGTCCACGGCCATGTATGTATCACCGTTGGCCTCGGGATTTAACGTCTCAGTGTACGTTCTTAGTCATTTGTTTGCGTGAAAAAAGGTTTTCTTTTTCCTCAAAAATAAAAACAAAGGTTTTCTTTTTCTTAACTTTTTTTTTTCCCCTTCATCAGTTGAAAGCAAGCGCATTTCTCAACAGGCTCGTATCACGCCAACAACCATTTGATCCGTTGGTTACCATCAAAACTTCAAGTTTTGGTTGTAAGTGAGAGGTTAAGAGTTCAAATCTTGCCTCCCATCAACTATTATTTGTGACTTGTTACTTTTAATGATTTCCTCCGATTTCTCAATAAAAGCCCATTTCTCGATAGGCTCATGTTATGCCAACAATCATTTGATCGGTTGGTCAGAATCCAAATCTTATCAAAAGGCTTAAATCTTATCTTCCACCAGCTACTATTTGTGGCTTACTATTTTTAGTGACTCCTTCTGATGGTATTTTCCCTCTCTCTAAAATAGAATAAAGTAGGTTATAGAAATATTATCATTACGAATAAAAAAAAATAAAACAAAAACAAAAGGCACGTATTGTTACGAGAGCCTTCATAGGTTGTGAGTACGGGAATCAAGGCATGGTTTCTGCAGATTACAAAAGCGCGCCTTCAAGAGTCGCGGTCAATGTGTTGCAATCGAGGAGCGACACAAATTTGTTTTTGAACGACTCATGTACCCTTAAGCTTGAGAGCAAGTAATTTTGAGTTATAACATTTGACTAAAAATTGAGGGAATGCGAAGTCATGGAGTCCCGCGTGAATGGTCAAGCGGCAGCACCTCTCACCAGTGAACCTTGAGATCACAAATTCGAGTCTCCGCTCCGCTGAATTTTTTCGCGCACTTAACGTGTGTTGGACCGGGTTGGGACGCCGGATCCGGGCCGCAGGAGATTAGTCGGGTCCCGTAAGGATTGATCCGGACACCCCTGTGTCGAGAAAAAAAAAAAAAAAAAAAAGTCATGGAACATTGCGGATGTTTCTTCCCGTTTAATAAGGGGTAGCCGTCAAAAATGGTAGTATTCCCGTCATAATGATTCAGAAGGAAATTTAGGATGAAAATGTGCCAACTTAATTTGTCATTCCAGACATCAATAATTAATTCAAGTTTTATGTATTATCTCCCAAACTAGTACTAATTTTACCTTGATCATAATTAAATTACGTACAAAGTGGATTTAATTTGCAAAAGCTGAATCTATCCTCAAAACATGCACTGCTCCAACAGTACAGTAGGGATGGAAAAAATATAAGAGCGAATGAAGTAGGAAAATGGGATATCCGATCAATACATCATCATTTGCTAAAACCGCATTCGCTGTCCATCTCCGCGACTGCCTTCCTGTGCTCTTCTTCTAGTGTATAGTTTAGTTACCACGAAAATAGGATAATAAGTACATAAGCAATGGCCTCAAAGAAAGGAGCCAAAGTAGCTGTCAACCAAAGAAAGATTTTCTAAATCCTTTCATTTATCGGCCTCGAATTTAAAGGCAAAGCCAACGAATTCTTTCTATCCACACTCAAGTCATCGCCTTCTCATAGTGTTTCTCATTTTCATAACAAACTCTTGTGTGGTCACTTGAAAAAAAAATTTTTTGGAGTAATCGTGCTATTTTCCCCCTTTCTCTCTCTCTCTGTCCCCCCTTTTCTTTTCCTATTTCCTTTGGTTCATCTATTCGGTCGATAATTGGGATATTGGATTTATTCCTCCGAGGGTTATTGAACCATATGAGAACAGAAAAAGCTTTGCATGAAAAGGCGAAATTTTCCCAGAAATAGAAATGGCTATTAGCAGGAAGGACGTTCAAGTTTGCATGCTAAAAGTTCTTTACTTTTCGATCAGATTTGTTTGGAACTGTGTAAAAACTCACCCATATGTTTCATCTACTTTGATATTCCTTGGACTTCTTTATGCATGTAATCCCTCGCTCTTTTGGCTGGTGATATACTTGTCTGCATTTGTCTGCATAGTTTTTTCAACCGCTAAATTATATTATAGATTTGGCAATGGCAAGAATCCCAAAAGGGACGAGAAGAATGTTAGCGATGGCGCAAAACCTGTTAGGACGAGTAGACTTGTCAAAAATGATGTGCATGCCCGATCTGTTAGACGAAGAAGATCAAGAGAGACAAGCAGGGATGATTACTCGCAAACGAGCGAGGAGGAGAAAAGCACCGTTTTCTCATCAACCTTTAACCATGGTACGGTTGATAAAAGTGCTATAGTAGAACAACAACCGAAAGAAATTCGAGAGGTGGAAGTGGATTCTCTAGCTGTCCACGCTGAATGTTCTTCCTCCAATTATCTGCGAGATTTAAGACCTGAATTTCGCATTCAATCCCATGAAGGGCCTCAGAGGCTTGATCGCGAGAGAGGCGAGATAGAGACAGAGAGTTCAGAAGGCACAGAAGGGGAAGATGATGAGCGTGATAAAGAGGAAAATAACAAGGCTGTGCAGTGGAATGAGGATGATCAGAAGAATCTGATGGATGTCGGAATTTCTGAGATTGAGAGAAACAGGAGGTTGGAGAGCTTAATTGCAAGGCGAAGAGCACGCAAATTGTTGAGCCTTCAGGTAAGAAAGACACTGATGAACATCGACAACAGTGCGCCTTTTGGTCATATTACCCCTTTAATGGTACCAAGACATAATCCTTCTATCCTCAACCCTCCATCAGGCCGGTTTTCTCCCATGCCCGGCTCAGCTCCTTCTATCTTGGTACCAATGCACAACCCTTTTGACATTCCTTATGATCCACAGGAAGAGAAACCAATTCTTACAGGTGGTAGTTTTGATCAAGAGTTCCTGCCACTGCACCAGAAGGATCTGTTCAGCAGACATGAGAGCTCTAGCATAGAGTCTTCCTTCCCAGGAGAATCAAAGCAAGACCGAAAAGACGCATCTCAATTTTATGACTCTGCATTCAAGGAGAGGGAGAGGGGTTCTGAACAACATGAGAACTCCGAGTTAGAAAGCCAATTAGGTGAAATGCTACCCTAACCAATCACACACACACGAACAAAAATCTATACACACACACACACACGAGAAAGACGGTGCAATATAACATTGGTTTCTAATCATATGACTCAACCAATATTTAACCGTTTGGATGCAGATCAAAAAGACACTGAGAAGATAATTGAAGTTGAGACATCTCAACCACCAAAGTCTAACTCAAACATGGTTAGAGATCATAGTTACGCCCAAGAACACATCCAGAGCCCTGAACAGGGAGAAGAATTAGTAGATGGTCGTCAGGAAGAAGAAAATTCTGAAGAAAAGACAATCTGGATGCCGTCTGACGATTTAAGTGGCAAGTCCAGCACTGCCTCGTCGTCCGAAGAGGAAGAACAATTTCCAAGAGTAGATAAAGATGCAATCCTAAAATCCTTGTCATCTCCAGTTTCTAGAAACATTTCCGCAAAGTGGGACAGCAGAAGTGAGATGGAGCATGATTTAATTAACTCCGGTCCGTCCATGTTGCATGACAACAGAATGGAGGGACACTTCTTTGCTGACAAGGCTTGCAGTCATACCCCTACTTATTCCATTTCTTCAGACTTGCAGGTTGAGGTTTCCGAAATTAGTTCACCTCCATTAACAGTCGATGGGAGCATCTCATCCCATGATGAAAATCGAATTTCTGAAGGAAGCATGGAAGGAGAAATCACCTCTAGCAGTGAAGACATATCGGCTGCATCACCACATCAATGTGGTGGAGGAGATGAAAAGGAATCAATATTAAAGGACATACACGAGGTTAGCGAAATTGGCACCGTAGAAGTATCAAACACCAGAAGTTCTGAGGAGCCTGTTGCATCGGCAGGGAAAATGACGGAAAAAGCCCCTAAGCCACTTACACAATTAACTTCAAATGCTGAGTTACCTGACGCAAGCCAAGACCATCCATCAGGTTTCAACTTCAGCAGTGAAGAGAATTACCGAAAGCCTATTACTTGTGATTCTAGGAATGGTGTTGCTGAGAAGCCAGAGGCAAGTCTTCTTTTTTCTTTTTCTTTTTTTTTCCCCTTTTCAGCATTAGATGGAGTGAGATGAAGTCACTTGGAGAGAAAACCATAACATCGACATTCTAGCTTTTGCTCGTCATTTTATGACATTGAATTAACCATGTTCTACTTCTGATCCAAATATCAATGGGATCAATACGTACATTAAATTCTTTTATTGACTTTACTCACTAATTTGAGATTGCGTTAGGTTGTAATTATGCTCAGCATTTGTAGGAATGGCAACGGGGCATGTTCTACCCACTGTTACTGTGTTTTTTTTTTAAGAAAAAAATATTATTGTGTTAAGTGTAATTAGAAATTTAGTATAAATATATTAGTAATATAATTAATTAATAATTTTTATTAGTATACATATACAATTATTAGGATAATTGATAATATTAATTATATTATATATATACTAATGTACATAATATAATACTTATAATATTATTATTATTATAAATTTATAACTAATTAAATTAAATATATTATATATATTTTTTTAAAATTTTTTAACGGGTGGCGGGGTGGTACCCCTATCAATTTATCTCGTGGGTACCCATCCCAATTGCCATCCTTAAGCATTTGTCCTATCATTTTGTAAGTTTCCAGTCTTTTCATGGTTTTTTGTTAATAATTGAGATCTAAACATCTCGTATAGATTGATGCATGAATCACACACAAACAAAGACACAGAGATACAATGTTAGGTACTTAAAACTTATTATTTCTCGTGTCATATGGACCATCAACAATCCTATTTCTCTCAGAATATTGAGAAGGAGGTGAAGAGGATTTGCGGTCATGATGATTCAAATCTGCCCGAAAGTAGCAAAGCAGAGAACTTCAGTGTTGGAGACAAAGATAGTGGAACCGATGGTTGGATACAGGAAGGTGGAATGGCACACGCAGAATGGTCTTTGACGAGTAGTCCAACATATATTGGGTATACTGGAGACCAAGCAGAAATGATGGAAGAGCATGATGAGATATTTGCATATTATGAAGCAATTGGGGAAGATGATAATGTCAGAACCTCTGAAGATTCTGGGGAAGAATCAATTGATATTTCACAGTATGGAAACTTGGACATGGCCATGGCAGTTGAGGAGCATGACGCTCAAGAATCAAATCAAGATAATGAAGGTGGTCAACAGACAGCAGAGAGAGGATTCCCAAGAGTTACTGAGAGATACAATGGTCGCCAAGTATCACGATTACTGCCACATTTACTGGTTCGGCAAGTTCCTTCCATTATACCCTTGTCTCCTAGATCAGTTTTGCAACCCAAATTTTCAATTGATCCCAGCTCTTCATCCCACTATACTGACGAAATGCATGAAGAGTTTGGAACACCAATGGCAGAAACTAGTAATATCCTGAATGATGCAAGAGGAGAAAGTTTGCCTTTGAGTGCACCAGTTACCACATCATTGGCTGTGGAGGATACAACATCTTGTATCTCACATGGTAGGGATGCCGTATTGCAGGTCAGTCATCAAGAACAAAAATGCAATTTAAGAAGTTTGCTGTTCTATTTGATTTGTTTCTTATGCAATCATGTAATTCAAAATATGATTACTGGAAGTTCCTGACTAATAATGCATTTCATGTGTGCTAGCTCCTTTATACACAGTAATTAGAATTCTTTGCCTGGATATCTCTCTTTTTCCTAGCCCTTTCAATGACTCCAAACTAGTATCTTGCCTGTCAGAAACAAGATTGGTTGATGGCAGCTAATTATACTTGATAGGAATCCTCAAATCTTTCAACAACTTCTGCCTTGGAAGCCAACAATGGACTTGGAAATGAATGCCTAGTTCATGAATATGACAGGGGACAAACTGATCTGCAAAATTTTTCAACAACATCAACTGAGCAAGCCAACTATAGTGGATTTAGGAGTCAATGTGGCGATCATGAAAGTGAAAAGGGATATTATGAACTTGGAAATTTTCGTGAAAGTTGTCGTGAAAGAAGCTCAAGTTGTCCTGAATCAACATCAAGTGAATTGAAACCGATGGATGAATCCAGTTCCAGAATGTTGAAAGAGAAAGATGAAGGGTCTGAGGAGCTCTACGACAATGAAGCTCCAATTGCTTTTGCAAAAAAGATAGCTCAAGCTCAAGAATTAAGTATGCCACAAATAAGCCCACAGGTAATCTTGACAAGTTCCTTTACTTTTGGCTAAGGGTTTGTTACAAGATATCCCTTCATTTGAATGTGTAAAAAGGGAATAAGACAATTTTTTAAGCAAAAGACTCAAAAACATGCCTAATTTTAAACTATAAAATGCCAAATGAAAGCTGCTTAGAGCAGAACCTGTCTGTTCAATAGAATTTCAACTAACTCTATACTCCTTAGATTTAACCATTAGGTCTTGATCCATTGGTCAGGGACGCCCTTTAAAACTTCTCTGTACACTAAGTTGGGATTCAAACCCCTCCAAGTGCATCTCACGAGAAGCGCTATACTTCTTGTTCTTAAAAAATTCAGAGAGTGTAGTAATGCACTTATCAAATATGATCGTTCACCCCTCAACCCCTATATAAGCCTTTTTAGACTCCATCGATAGTAGAAGTATGAGTAGATTAGATAGTTTTTATTGTAGACCAAAAAAAAAAAAAAATTGCACTCCTTAGATTTTTGTTTCAACACTTCTCTGCTAGATAACTAAATGTAACATGTATGTACAATAAGAAAGAACACATAATTACATTCCCTTTTGCCTCTTCTCTACAGCAGCAAGATATAAGTGTATTAAGGTTCAATTCGTTACTACAATACTAACTTGTTCTTTTTCTAAATTCTAACAGCTTAGCTTTTCTTCTTAGAATATTTTTCTAAATTATCAAAACCTGTAACAGTATCGTAGGCTCTCTCTCTCTCTCTTTCCTCTTCTCCTCCAAGTATTTTTTGGTGGTCCAAAATTTGGTTTTATGTAACTGGAACGAACCGAGATAGCATTTACAACAAGCACTTTGTTCTATTCTCAGGAACCGGCAAAACCTCTTGGGGGATCAAGTGAAGTCACATACAATCCCAGGAAGAATGAAACGCTAGTCCAAGAGATGGAAGAAAAGTCAAAAGATTTTTTGAGGAATTTGATGCAAGCTTTCAAAGATTAATTTGACCAAGTTCCCTTGAAAATAAGAGTACATAAATATAAGAACCAACGAGCATGACGACCAGATGTTGATGTAACAGTGAATCCATGTTGAGAACCCGTCAAAGATTAAGGTACAAACAAATCTTGAGCAATCAGAAACTAATTCAAACCTGTACGAAAGTTGTGTTGACTCAAATCTGTGCGATAATTTTGTTGACTCCATCTCTCTATCTATTATTTATTGTATTACTACATAGACTATAAGCACTTTTTGGTCTTAGATTTTATTATACCTAAGTTATCCTTCTATCTTTCAATTAAAATTATGTCAATTTAATTGTAGTAGTAATTAAAAATATGAAACGTTTCAAATGATTCAATCTCAATAATGTTGGTAATAAAAATAAAAAAATCCTTATAGAAAACTATTTAGTAATCCTTGTACTCCATCTCCAATTCTTGTATGCATCATAGTATCTCACTTAAAGCAAGTACTCAAAGCAATGTAAACCAATTGCATTAGCTGCAATTTTAAGAGTCTAGAAAATATCAATATCAAAAATAGATGCTCTTAGAGAAATATATAAGAAAAGACTCGATATCCATATTCATTTGATGAATCTTGATATAAATATCACGAAGCAGATGTATAATTTATCAATATGAGGAAATACAAAAACAAAAGCTAGAATAAAAAATCAACTATGTCTATCAATTAATTTTTTTATTTTTATTAGTAACATGTAAGATTTAAGAAGTGGGAAGGGGCAAGAGTTTCTTGGAATCTCAACCTTAGTCACTAGACTAAGGTCTTATCAATTTATCAATTGAATTTCAATTGACAACTAAACAACTAATCCAAGATAATTGAATAATATAAATCATTTACATTCTTTATTAACGGCAACTTTTCAATTGAAATTAAAATTTTTATTTATAAATTTGAAGTGAATAATATGAGTACGATGTTAAATTTGGATTATTTACATTTTGTGTAAGTGTTATTGCTGTTAATAAAGAATGAAAATTTGAAGTGAATAATATGAGTACAATGTTAAATTTGGATTATTTACATTTTTTCTAAGTGTTAATAGAATAGTTTAATGTTCATGTGAAGTTGTATATAAGGACGGATCATATATTTTATTTTTAATTAATTAAACCATTCTAATTGTACAATGAAAAAAATGCAAAAGAAGTAATAATGGGTTTCATTATGCAAATACCGTTCAAAATGTCAATACAGAGTTTTTTCATTTGTTAAAACTTGCTGATTTCATAAATAAAAAAAAAATCAACCATGAATTTTATTTTCAAGTCAAAAAAGATTAGATTCAGGTTGATAAATGAGCTTGCCAAGGAGTAAAGTAAGATGTAAGTGTGGTGAAAACAATTGGAATGACAAAATCTAATATTTAAAATATTTACTAGTATTTATGAATTTTATTTGTTATGCAAACACTTGACATACGTACATATATTTCCTGCTTAAAAACATCTTTTGTACCATATACAAAAGTACAATATTATAATTTACTAGCAAAAATATTATGAATATACAACAACTTTGGTGAAACATGACCCTATTAATAATTGTTTATTAAATTGAATTCATAATTTACAAAAATGCTCAAAGTAAAGTAAAACAAACCAATAGATTGAAAAGTTTGAATTTTGATAGTGTTTATAACAACAATTGGTTAAAGAAATTGAAAATATAATATTCTATTATGAGGTAAGCAATTGAAATTTTACAAAAAAAATTTATATCTAAAAGATGTTATATTTGGATTAATAAAATCATGTGCAAAATACGTGAATTATTATTAGTTACAAAAGAATGGATATTACTTTGATAGCTATTGCTCGCCCATTTTCCTTGAAAATATTGTAGTGACAAGTTTTTGAGTGACAACCTCTATTATCACTAATACCCTTATTATTGTCATTAATACTCTAATTTTTTAGGGGAGTTTTGCGATATCTTTCGGGTATTATTTCGTATGTATCAATTTACAATTGGATGTATAAAAAGAGATATCAGCCCTTATATAGTTTTAAGATTTTAAATTATTGAATACAGTGGCAAGAACTTATTGGATTAAAATCACAGGTATGATATATACAAAAGGATGGTAGAATTTCCCTACTTGTTATAGTGTTTCCTGTAGCGGTGTAAATAATTCATTTTCTATCAAGAAATCCTAAACACAGCTTCATCCATACTTGTTCCCCACACTGGTCTAGTTAGCAATGGTATACAGCATTGCATCATCCATCCTAGTCTTTTCTCGTTCAGAAGACTATTCTTAGAAATAATACCCATTGTGCCAATTTCAACCTAGTGATTATTGTACCAGCTGGTCCAATAACCCTAAGCCTCTCCTTACTTGGTTGGATTATGAAGTCAAGAGCATAAGGGAACAACAGTCAAGTTGGATATCTATTTTTCTTAGTTTTATGTCTGCTAAGGGTTTTTTTTTTTTTTTTTTTTTTTTAATGTTAATGTGGCAAGACTTGTGTAGCCATTGCAGTTGTGGTGCATTAGAGATGGCCTATCAGATTCATCATAGCTAGAATATTCTAGTTTTAGAATACAAACTGATTCATAATTCATTACACAATGAAATAAGTTTAGGTCATAACATTCGGGGATGTCCCAATGGGAGGCCCAAGTCCCAAGCTCAATTTAGTACATTTTTTTTTTTGTTATAGGTAGGATTTCACGTTTCATTGTCTGTGACCAAAAAGGGTTTACCCCCCACAATTTTATCAATGCTTCCTTCCTCGATCCATTAGATTTGGTTCAACTGATCCTCAAGCAGTCTGTATTAGTTTCTATCAATTGATGCTAAAAGGTGGCACTGAACAGATTGTATCAAGTATGAGAGTAGGACATGCACCATATGCAAAGTTATAGATTGATTCTCTGCCCCTGATACAAAAGTTCATAGCAAATGGTTATGCATACAGAAAGGGTGATAGTACATAAGTGTAGGATGAATACAGCAAAAGTGCTACAGAAAATTGAAATACAGGACAGGACAGATGATCAAACTGCAGAGCCTTTTAATGCCTTACCTATGGAACTACAGATAAACATGTATCTAGCAATCAAATGATAAACATTGGCACCATAGCTGAGAGCAATAAATTACCAATTATCAGAGATGATTTTTGGATCTAAGAAGTATTTACACTAATCAGGATGGATGCACATATCATCCATCTTCACCCGCCTACAAAATTGTATCCTCAAAGGTTCTAAAGACCAGACAAGGAGCTAAAAGTGCAGTAACAAAGAACCCAAAGCCAGAAAATAACAACATTTTTCCATCATGGCAGCCTTACTGGTACTTAAAATTGAATGTGAATGCCAACTTGTAACTTTTAGTTGTGCATAGACTATTTCGATTCGGAATTCACAAATTCAATAACAAAAATTCACCACCACATGGTAGACAGAGACCTTTGACGTGAGATGAAGCTTAACAGTTGGAAATCCAGCAGGACTGGAGCTGCAACTGGTGCAATATTTGTTTGTTTTCAGGTCATGGAAACAAGCCCATGGACATAAAGTCAACCCTCATCAACCCCTGACAGAATCATTTCCATGGAAACAAACCCATGGACACAAAGTCAACCCCTTATCAACCCCTGACAGAGTCACTTCCATCATACAATTACCAGAGTTTCTAAATTAGGTTTGAACCAGCAATTGCTCAGTTCTAGGCATGGTTGAGAGGCTCAACAAGAATTCTTTTCTGCCCAGCTCATAACCCAATGGTCTGCCCCTTTCACAAGTATGATTACAATCTCCTCACTCTATATTACAGATTACCCGGAATATGTTTTCTTTCATAAGCTATCACCTTATTCTTGATGAACAGCCTCCCACGCAATGACGGTGTTTTGGGGTGGGGCCCGGGGGGGGCAGAGGGTTAGTGGGCCCCTCTAAATTTTTAAAATTTTAATTTATAATATGTAAATATATGTGTCAAACAAAATTGATCTTCCCTAATTTTTTACAATTTTATTTTTTATTATGAGAGTTTATATATTTTTTTTATAATTAAAGTTAATATTTGATTTTTTAGATGTCATATATTTAATGGATGATAATTATTTTGAATATAGTATATTAAGAAAATTTTGACTATTCTAAAAAAAATCCTAATTCCGTCACAGCTCCTAACAAAAAAACGATAGCCATACAACCAAACTTGCTTATAAGAAATTAAACCTCTAGCACATATCGTGAAAGTCATATTATACATCACTCAAGCAATGACTCTGCAATCACGATACAGTATAGGCACTCTAACACGTTCTATACACGATTGATGAATCCAGCCATATCCGTTCTTGCCTCAGTCAGGTCCCCAAGAATTGAGTACCATGAAATGCACTTCATTTTTGTCATCCAACACCCATCCAACTGCTACCATTGCATGCAAAACATTCGCTACTTTCCCCTCAATTTTATAAAATTCCTGTAACAAAAAAAATTAAAATTCTAAATTTACAATTTCCAATCCCCAAATATGCATTAATTAAATTTATACCCCTTTGTTGCTTCGGAACTTGCTGCAGAACTTTATAGAAATTAAAGCTGGCTGTCTGAAGATGACTTTGATTAAATCACTCGAATGGAGGGAAGGAGCACGAATGAAATCGTAAATAAAAATTCTTTTCCCATCCTGCAAAATATAAATGTTAAAGCTCATAACACAGATAGAGATAGAGTGAGAATTGAGTCGTAAAGTCCTCTCCAAGTTAAATAGCAAATATTTATATATACACATATATACACACACACACAAATATGTACACATATATATACAAAAATGGCATACACAAAAATATATACAAATATATACAAAAATATATATAGAATATATATATACAAATATATACACATATATATACAAAAATATATATATACACAAATATATATACAAATATATACAAAAAACATATATACAAAAATATATATACAAATATATACACGAATATGTACATATATATAAATATATACACAAAAAATATATATACACATATATATATTCAAATATATACAAAAATATATATAGAATATATATACAACAATATACACAAAAATATATATATACAAAATATATATACACAAATATATACACAAATACATATATACACAAACATATATACAACAATATACACAAAAATATATACAACAATATACACAAAAATATATACACACACACACACACACATATATATATATATATATACAAAATATATATATACAAATATATACACAAAATTATACACATATATATACAAAAATAGCAAATATTTATATATATATATATATACAAATATATACATGAATATATACATATATATAAATATATACACAAAAATATACACACACACACACACACACATATATATATATATACAAAAATAGCATACACAAAAATATACACAAATATATACAAAAATATATATAGAATATATATATATATAAATATATATACAACAATATATATACAACAATATACACAAAAAATATATATATACAAAATATATATATATACAAATATATACGCAAAAATATACACATATATATACAAAAATAGCAAATATTTATATATATATATATATATATATATACACGCATACATACAAAAAGGACAAAATACAGCTTCAATGGCTCGGAATGACGCCAGTGTGCGTTGTGTGTGCAGATCTAGGGCCAAAATGTGAGTGTTCAACGTGTTTTTACCTGTTTTCCTTGGAGATAGTCGTTCCCGAGGCTTACTCCATGCTCCGAAATCCATGCCAGAACAAATGAGGGAGGAGCCAGAGACGCCGTACTTGATAAGTTCGTGTTCAAAGAGCAAAATCTTCTGCCTGCGATGGATCTGGTACACCATTTCCAATGCAGCACGGACGGCATTTGGTACGCAAGTTGGCCCCTCTTAACAAAACAAAGGCACAATTTAAAACAGGATAGATAGGAGTATATGGATAGATCAAGTAGATAGATATACCTTGACGTCTGATCAAAGTTTTGACCCCATAATGCAGCCAGGTGAAAGAGCGGGGTGGCGTGGTAGCTTCGTGCCAGCGTCTCCCAGTACCGGAGTGGCAGGACTTCACTCCGGGAGGAGGGAAGAATTTGGAAAGAGAGAATACACGTCTGAAAGCCATAGAGAGTGAAGAAATGAAAAAATGAACGTAAGCAATAGAGAACGAAGAAATGAGCAAAAGAGAACGAAGAAGCTGGACTTTTATAGCCAACCGGTTATGTTCCACTCTCTCTGCAGGCCCTGCCAGCCGCCGCCACTTACTGAGTTACTGGTACTGGTGCTGGTCCTGAACGACTTCTTTTTAGTTTTTTCTCTACTTTTTCAGTTCAGAAAGAAAGAGAGAGAAAAGTTTACACTGTCGTAAATCCTTTCCGCATCTTTTTTGTCCTATTTCAATAATTTACAATTGATGCGAGATTTTCAGGGTTAAAGAACTTTGTCTGGAAATTAAGAACGTGTTCTCATTTTGTTTTTTGGAATTTTCAGTTTCTGATGGGCGGAAATGGATATGAGCTATGTAAATATCTTCTAAGAATATGGCTGCTAGAACCATTTTTTGTTTTTTTTTCTTTTTTTTTTTAAAATGATCTAAGCATATGGATCAGAAATATTTATTGTTTCCGTTAAAATAGAAGCATTTGCCTTTGTCCAGTAATATTCATTTTCTATTGTTTCATATTCTTGAAAAATAAATAGAAAAAATTTTCCCGTGGCTGAACGTATTGACGGAAATCCAGATAGTGTTTCCTCTCCATGTAATTTTGCGGGACGTGCGGGGTTGATTTTTAGATACTGAGACCTTAAAGAAGTGAGGATGAGGTATAACTGATGCCTAGCTAGTTGCGATTGCAAATTTGCAATGGCTTCGTATTGCTCAATCTCACGTACGCGGGTGGCCAGAAGTGGATTGGAGTGATTCTCTGCAAATTAAGCCTAAAGTCATATGTCCAAGATTGTTAGAATCCTGCAAAAGTGTTGGAAGTTATCAAGGTAGCTCTCATCGCTTCACGGAGATCTAAAGCTACTATAAATGATTACTAATACCTTATTAGGAAGTTCTGCCTGCCAGAGTGCAAGGATGGACGGATGCTTATCTTCTAGCTAGGTTCCAATTAGTTTTGTAAAAGTTTATCTCGTTCAGAAAATAGTCCATGAGTCCTCTGGATATGTGTTTTCACTTTCTTATGCATTTAAGGTTTGTTCTAAGAGACGTGCAATTCCAGGAAAAATGTTGATTAGGCCTTTATAGAAACTTAACTTCTTAATGATTCTAAGCCCTGCTGCCTATTCCAAGGCACGAAGGAGCAGTTTCTCAGTTCAGACGGAATTTCATGTATCCAATTTGTCGCCTAAGACCCGTCACGTGGTATCCACCATCATATGTTTGATTTGCTGAAACAGATTGGGTCTTCCGCGCGTTGTGGTGTCATTGCTCCGGTTAATGTTGTTGTTCCTGCTGGAAATAAAGGTGATCCTACTTATATCCCTTAGGTTTATTCTTGTTCCTTCTGGTGCCTGTTTGCTTTATCACAACCATTTTAGGGCTATTTTAGGTGCTTAATATCCCTATCAAGATCAATTAGGGGACTGTGGGAATCATTACTCCTTTGGAGCTTGTGTGAAAAGGTCGGCTCATCTGAAGCTGATCTTCGATCTTCTGTCGAGGCTTAAAATGAAGCCATTCCCTTATGGCTTGATTGTCATGTCTGTATATGAGAATGGATCAGTGTTCCAGCCTGAAGTCATCCTTGGCCTCACAGAGGAAGAAATCGTCTCCAAATTTGCTGCCGGTTAATCAGACATGTTCTCCCTTTCAGTGGCTTTTTCATATCCAACTCTTGCTGCAGTGCCTCTCACTCACGTTCATCAATGCCTACATTAATGTTCTGTCTGTTGCGGTAACTACTGAATACTCTTTCCCAACAGCTGAGCAATTGCAGGTATATTGAAAGGTCTGGCTGGCCAATGCACAGATACATGATTTCTCTCTTCAATTGTGGTTTTCATCATCTAACTGACTAAAAGTGAACTCGCGAGATCCAAGCAAGTTTTCTGCTGCTGCTTGTGGGGCTGCTGCCATCCCTGCTACTTCAGCTGCTGAGGAGGAGAATCATGAAGAAGTTGGCAAGGAGTCAGATGATGAACTGGAGTTTGGCTTGTTTGACTGACAGAGGCTGCTGTCAAGAAACTAATTACTCGATATGGAGGTTTACATAGGATATATAACTGGAAACCCATGCAAAATAGTCAAGCATTTCTTCTGGTTCTGTGCGGTCACAGTAGTACTTCAAGGATATGGTTTTAAAAAAGCCATTGTATCATTTCTTGCTACTTACCCAAATTGTATCATTTCTTGCTAGGACTAAATAAATAGTGATCACTAAATACAGAATTCCTGAGTTCTATTTCCAGTGATCACTAAATACAGAATTCCTTCTGCTGTCTATTTCCTAAAGTTCCATTCTAGAAACTTTGAGCCAACGGATTCTTGTAAGGTGGAATTACAGGCTGCAATATCTTTGGAAGGGAAGATATTCAGAGCTCCAGATAGCAGAAACTTACTGTGTTGGGCAATTTGATAGGCTGAAGTCTGATACATTTAATCCTCGATTTGAATGGCCCCGAAAAAGAGGTGGCGAGTGGGCAACTGGGAGAATTTGTCAAGTCTTACCAAATGGGTGCCTTGTTGTTAGGTTTCCTGGTAAGTTGACATTTGGTAATGAAAATAGCAGCTTTTTAGCTAATCCAGCTGAAGTTCAGTGTGTTTGTTTTAGCGCTTCTCCTGGAGTGCTGAAAAAGTATCAGCACCTTGAGGATTTTCACTGGGCAGTCCGGCCACTTCTGATTGCTTTGGGTCCATTTACTACTATGAAGCTGGGCCTTTTTGTTGGAAAAAAGATTAGCAGGTCAAAGATAAGGAAGGGACGGACTAATGTCATATCAGGTGAAGCTCAATCTTTGGAAGGCCACACTGCTGGCAACACGGGCTGGCTACCACCCCAAGTGCCAAACATCATCTTCAGGAGGGTCTCAGTGCACCTACGTCTTGGTAGTTCTCATGCTTCAGTCAGAAGCAATCTTGCCCTTTCCAGAAACGGCTCCACAGATTTGTAACCTTTGCTTAGGGAATTCAAAGCACAACCTTGCTTATATTTGCAAAAACAAATCCTGTATACATGATTGTTGTAAATATATGTTTGGTGGTTGGAACTATTGCTGCCTTGTTAGTTCTTGTCCATATTAGCTAACGCCTTCTGGTTGTTTATGGTAATTCATTGTGCTTGAAACTGCAAAAACGCTCCTTTCTAATACACAGTTTTTGGCCCTTTCTTCCTCTTTGCTGGTTTATAACGTTCCAAGTCTCTTTCCTTACGCAATCCCGGCTAATTTTGCTACCTCGTAACATAGTGAACAGAACAGAGCTTTTCTACCCATTCTATATCCTTCTTATAGGTCTTCATGTTGTGATCTACATATAAAACTGATTGATACTTGCTGCAGTATTGTATGCTATGATCCTTGCCTTTCTGTGTTGTGAACGCTATACCATAGCATCTTCACTGCTAGTATGGCTGCTTGATGCTCAGACGAGTTAACAAAGTGTCTGCTTATCAGTGTCAATAGCAAGACAGTTTAATGTTGAGCCAAATGGTAGGGGCATGTTAATTGATGCTAGACCGCTACAATCTCGCTGGTTACTTTCCAGTGGTATGAATAGGACAAGCAAGCATCCTTTTCCCATGTCCAATCAAAATCGCCCATTTTCTTACACAATGAATTGTATTGAATCCACTTCACCCCCTTAATGATTTTTTTTAAAAGGAAGATCAAAAACCAATTCATTAGTGTCATTAATAATTCCATTTAAAAATTCATGGTATAATTTGAATAAATATTTTATAAAAATGATAATATGATTATAATGGATAGAAGCTAAAAAACGCTTGTAATGAGATGAATGTTTTGAGAATAGAAAAACATTTGCAACATATCAACAAACATTAAAAAAGGAAGTCAAAAAATATTTTCACTGACAAACCAAACACCGGAAAATTATGAAAAAAGGAATTTGAAAAATATTTTCACTAAATAACCAAACACTGGAAAATTGTGGAGAAGGAAGTGATTTTTCAGGAAAATGACTTCCATGGAAAATATTTTCCTAAACCAAACGAACCCTAAAAGAGGAAGTTGGTCCAAGCACAAATAGTCAAGGGCAAACGGAGAATTTGGTTGACACATAGTTCAGTAATTCACCATAAATATATATATATATATATATATATATATATATATATATATAAGGGAAATTCAAACATCATACCAATATAAATAATGACAATCTCATAAGAGCAGGAAACAGAAAGTAGAGGTTTCTAATATGTGAACAGAAGCGTAGCTGGGGAAGCATTGAAGATCAATGCGAAAGTGCTGGCCACATTTGCACCTCGTTCCATAAACGCCTCTTTGTTCAATTTACTTCGTCAATCTGTAGAAAAGGTAACAAGTTACATGACCCAGAAACAAATATTAATACTTGCCTTTATTGAATCAAATAAAAAACCAGTTCGTGAGAAACATTTCAAACAACTGAAAACTGTACAAAGAGTAACAGGTTATGTAAACTTCAGAAACGAAAACCAGTTAATGCTAGACTAGTAGAGCAAAACCAAATATATCAGAAACACAATCTGATTCCATCTGCACGAGAGGACTTCTTTAGCTTCAAAAGATCCCTCGTTTATTTTTTACAGAAGTCCACTCACAGAACCAGCGTTTGGATTCAGAAGATCATACACGACAAAAAATGCATCCATGTTCATTTAATGCGTTGATCTGTAAACCTTAGGCGGAGACTAGGCCGCTGGGGACAAACAAGCTAATAAAATTTTTAATTGAAATTAAGCGGGCGAAACAGATAGACATGACAACTCCAGAAAGACAGAGACAGGAGAACACCTCATTCTTATGTAAGTCTCTTATCGAAGCACGAGGCATTCCAAGCATAGCATATGGGCAGATTGTATCAAGTATGAGAGTAGGACATGCACCATATGCAAAGTTATAGATTGATTCTCTGCCCCTGATACAAAAGTTCATAGCAAATGGTTATGCATACAGAAAGGGTGATAGTACATAAGTGTAGGATGAATACAGCAAAAGTGCTACAGAAAATTGAAATACAGGACAGGACAGATGATCAAACTGCAGAGCCTTTTAATGCCTTACCTATGGAACTACAGATAAACATGTATCTAGCAATCAAATGATAAACATTGGCACCATAGCTGAGAGCAATAAATTACCAATTATCAGAGATGATTTTTGGATCTAAGAAGTATTTACACTAATCAGGATGGATGCACATATCATCCATCTTCACCCGCCTACAAAATTGTATCCTCAAAGGTTCTAAAGACCAGACAAGGAGCTAAAAGTGCAGTAACAAAGAACCCAAAGCCAGAAAATAACAACATTTTTCCATCATGGCAGCCTTACTGGTACTTAAAATTGAATGTGAATGCCAACTTGTAACTTTTAGTTGTGCATAGACTATTTCGATTCGGAATTCACAAATTCAATAACAAAAATTCACCACCACATGGTAGACAGAGACCTTTGACGTGAGATGAAGCTTAACAGTTGGAAATCCAGCAGGACTGGAGCTGCAACTGGTGCAATATTTGTTTGTTTTCAGGTCATGGAAACAAGCCCATGGACATAAAGTCAACCCTCATCAACCCCTGACAGAATCATTTCCATGGAAACAAACCCATGGACACAAAGTCAACCCCTTATCAACCCCTGACAGAGTCACTTCCATCATACAATTACCAGAGTTCCTAAATTAGGTTTGAACCAGCAATTGCTCAGTTCTAGGCATGGTTGAGAGGCTCAACAAGAATTCTTTTCTGCCCAGCTCATAACCCAATGGTCTGCCCCTTTCACAAGTATGATTACAATCTCCTCACTCTATATTACAGATTACCAGGAATATGTTTTCTTTCATAAGCTGTCACCTTATTCTTGATGAACAGCCTCCCAAGCAAAGAACGATATCCATACAACCAACTTGCTTCTAGGGAATTAAACCTCTATGGGGAGGGAACTTATAGACAGAGCTGTGGTTTGCATCCCTCTATCCATTCCTTTCAGTAGTTAACAGAATAACACGAGTATTTCATGAATTTCTTATGATTTGGCCATCCCCAACTTTGTTAGTTCCTCCTGAAAACTGATTACAACATCATTATTGTCTCTACTCATGCAATCATTAACCACCAATTCAAATATCCTTCCCTGAAGTCCGTCCCTGCACAAATCACAAATTGCAATTGACAAAGATTAAATGATTCCGGATCTCCCTAATGATCTGTGGATATTGCAGGTTGCACCTTTCATCCCACTTCTATTACACACTTCCTTAAATATTCTTCGTGAGATAAATACTAATGCATGCAAGAAAAAATGAGAGCAAAGGCATTCTAAACATGGAAGCACCCAAAGCACTCAACATGCACGCCACAAAGAAGATCAAAGGTAAAGATTGAACACAATCAAATATGAGGGAGATAAAAATTAGACAATTTACCATCTGACAGGAGATTCTATAGCATTCAATGGGAAAAAAAATTAAAGAGAAGCATTAGCTGCACTTACAAATCATTCTTCTTTTCCATTTCCTGTGGCATCTCTTGATAAAATTGTTCCAATCGTCGTACCTCTTCTTTGACTTGTTCACTCAATCTAGGGGAAGCAGAATAAATCATGTAAATTTCAACACAAATTCTTCTCTTTCCTAAGTAACTAGCCATTTTCGTCATGTTAAATCAAATTAGATACCTGTATACAAGAAATATGCCAGACAATTCAAACAAATCTAACCAAGTAGGATTGCATACTGTGGCAACAGTAGACCAAACAAGCATAAATAACACTCAGTCTCTTTTCTCTTTCAGAATAACTTTCTTCAGCTTCAAAAGTCTCTCTTATGTAACTCTGACCAAAGTACATAACAGAGAGCACTTGTATTTCTAAGCTTTCTCTACGACATATGGCATTGAATGATGTGTTCCAAGTTATTAAAAAAAAACACTTTGGGATACATTATTCCACATAAAATTCCTTAGTCAACATCCTCTACACCCGCTTTTTGCTCTAGTAACACAGCCATGAGAAACTGCACGCTCTTGTCCCTTCCATTTCCATCTCTTGTATGTTCCTGCATATGAAACTACAACTAGAAGACTGAGTAAAACTTTTAAGGGTGCTGGCGCTTCCTGCAATGTTCTTCTGAGAATAAATTCCAACTGAAGCTGCTCCCTTTCCATGACAATGTAGCTACAGAAGGTCTATTCTTAAATGGCAATTCAACTTACAGCAGAAAATCCTAATTTCAAGCTTTCAGGTCCAAACAAACATATCCTCCCAGAACTTTACAACATCCCATACTGCATCAGCAAACTTATCCTATTCTTGGGTAACTCTGCACAAATAGCATTTACAAATCATATAATTTTCAGCAACTAAGCCATTTCCTGAGAAAGTGCTGTGTTTTTCAGAACTTTTCCACATAAAGCATCTATTTCTAGATCAAATCTTCTTAAATCCCCTTGTTGCAGGGTACGTTGAACACATCGATATCTCATACGCCTACTAGGTATCATCACTTCTGGATTTGGCACCACACTTGCAGCCCACCCCATAGAAAGTGTGCATACACTCAACAAAATGATGACTTCATATTACAGAAGAACTAAAAAACTTGGCCTTCTTAAGCACCCACCTATAAGTCTGGTAAGAGACCATTGATTGAAATAGAACAGCAGATACATCCTGTACCTTCCATCTGGACATCTTTTAGCTATGACTTGAGCTCAATAACTGACAGGAAAAAATTGGATATTCATAAGTCTGTCTTAAATTTTTGCCTATGTATCTCCTTAAGATAAAACACGTTTCCTAATATCAACTAGATTCCAGCTCTATTACCTCATATTTGCTAAACTCTTCAAAGGTCTCAGAATGTTGCATCAGGACCAATTCACTTTTGCTCACAACATTTTGCATCCTCAAACAACCTGAGCCACCTAAAGATCTCTCTTTAAGTTTATAAATCTTCTTCTACTCTGTAAAAATGTGTTAAGACATCAGCAAATGGCAGCCAAAACCCAAGTTTGAGGATCGAACTCAGCTTTATTTGCTATTAAACTAAATGATACTATATCTTAGTAACAAATGAAAAGCAGCACCTTCCATTTTACTCACCCATTAACAGAAAAATAGTAAACAAATAGCTCAACTAATACACCAAAGCACGAATTTTGCAACAAATCACTAGCCACGCAGAAAATGAATTGCACTATACACGTGATTATGTATTATTACCTTCACCAAACCATTTCAATCCTAAACCTTGACAGGTAGAGCAATAAAATTTGTCTCTCTGCCTTTATTGACTCAAGTGCAGCTCAAAATACAGAAAAATTTCAGCTCAAAGTCTTCTGAGCATATACTAATCCTCCGCCTCCCAGCTGGCAAAATGTCTAAGGAGGATGACAATTCATGCAACACATAGAGCTCCTTAAATGAGGCTAAGGCTAGCTCGAGTGCATCTTACAGATAGTTTCATAAGCTGTGCAGCACAGCCAAAAATTAATAATAAGTTACTTACAAATTCCATGTTTAAAGGGCGTTTCCCCTCCACCCCAAATCCTCCACTCCACTCCACTCCTTGTGGTAGTTAGGATGCTTCTCGTTGTAATAGATTCAAGCCCCCACCCCGGGGGCGGGGGAGAAGAGGGGAACAACACGGAATACAACATATTATATTTAGCAGGTGAATCAATGGTGCTTGAAACAAGAATTTGATGTTATAAAAAAAATGAACTTTAAAATTAAGTTTGTGATAATCAACATGAATTCATTACCTTAAACGAATGGAAAGGTAATATAAATTAAAAGACATGAATATTGATTACCTAGCTTCTTCAAAAGGGTATGAAAAGGACTGGTCCACCAGCTCCCACTTAACCAACTTTGTCAAATTTTCTAATGGATCGCGAATAACTTCTGCATAGTAAAGATTGACCTCACCCTTTCCATCCACAGCCTCCAGCATCATATGATAACTTTCGCAAAGATTAATCGATCTCCATGCTCTTACCAACCTCACAAACCGCACATGATCTTCTCCTCCATCCTACAAAAATCCCGACCCCACCTCCTCAGCAGCAGTGGCACATTAAGTAATTTAAATTTTCGGGAAAAGAAGAAAAAGGAAACAAGGACTGCCACCCAAAAAAAAAAAAAAAACAACCTGGGAGACCTCGTTGTGAGCCTTCGCTGCAAACTGAGCACATTCTTTGGTGCTATCGTCGTCCTCAGGATTGTCGATGGGAAAATTAAAGCCGCCTTCGGGTATCTCATAGAAAACTTTTACGGGCGGAGGAGGCGGTAGATGGTAGTGACGACGGGAAAAGGAGACAAAAGGGCTGATCTTACGATTGTTCAGGTAAGAGTAATTGTCGAGGCCGCTGTTGATTGCTCCCAAAAACCCCCTCCCGTGACCGCCTTTCAGCTGATAGCCGACCATGGATATGGATCTCGCTGTGTTCAGGACAACTCGCCGAAGCGCCATTCTAACGTTTGCCCTAAGCTCTGGATGAATAGGGTTTTATAGGCCATAAGCAACCCGGGCATAAATAAATGGGTCAATCTTAGAAACCTCCCAGGAGATTTCTGATAATATCACCCACGGCCCCGAAAACAAGCAAAACGAAAGCCATGCCCGCCCCAATTATGGCAGTTGGGAAAGGGGCTGCGGATTTCCCAGCCAAGCTCACCGGACAGGTCTTGGTTTGCAACATCATTGCAGCCTGCGGTGGTCTTATGTTTGGCTACGATATCGGTATCTCAGGTTCTGTACTATTTTAGCATTAGTGCCTTACTTTCTATTGGAATGATCATTTTGTACAATAATTTTACTACATATGATGGTTTGTTGTGAATATAGATACCGATCTTGTTGAATAGAGCGAAATATTTCAAGAGAGATGTGTGGCTACAAGTGTAATTAATTGCGTTAAAAGCCAAGAAAAAAAAAAAAGGTGCAATCCAGTGGATGCTACTAGCAGCTAGAGAGTTAGTAGCAACTTTGTGCTTAACGAGTTAACATCTTGTACTAAAACAATTGGTTTTAGCAATAACAAGTTTAGCATAGTTCATTGTTGCACGCGGTTAGGACGAAAACGGACCATGCAGCTAGCGTCTCTCTATTGTCCTTGATCGGCGCTGTCCTCAACGGATAATAATAATGATAAATGACGCGTACAGCAAGAAACTCCTAATTCTTTTCTCAAATAAAACAAACCTTCACCAATTACGGGTAAGTGTATTAGCATATGATATGCCCAGCAGCGCGTAACTCTGATCGGATAGTGAGCAGGGATCTAATCAGAGCCGAGTCGAACTTGAATACTACCGTACTCAAGCTTGACCTGACATGCAAGAAAGATACTCGAACTCGAGCGAGTAGCATTACTGGAACTCAAATTCAAATTCGAACTCAATGCATTGCTCACAAAATTCAACTTCAACTCACATAGACTCGAGTCAATGCGAGTCTTATTAAGTTCGAGTCAAAAAAATTTGCGAATTTCATTTTTCTTGACAATTTTTGAGTGAAAAAGCATTGTTGTCCTTTAAAAAAATTTCATAAATTCAATCACTCTATTGAACACAAAGATAATTTCATAATAATGATATATTAAAGAATTAAAATTAAAAAACTCATTCAAGCCTTACTATTGAATACTCGAACTTGATTTGCTAGACTTATTGAGCGACTCGAACTCGACTTGGATTGACCGACTCGAATCGAGTTTTTGACCAAATTACTCGGTGAGTTACTAAATAGCGCCCGAGTTTCTTCACTCTGACTAGAATTGGAGCTTAATCCATCAAATAGAACACAACACCTGCAGCAAAAGGCAGCAGCTGCCATTTTTCCTTTGTGGCCAGTTTGTGAGCATAGGATAGAAAAGAAAAGATGAGAAAACTTGAGTTATGAAAGAAAAGAAAAGAAGAAAAAAGAATTGTAGTGATTTTGATGTTACTTGGGAGGCTAAGAAAGAAATAGAATGATTTAGAATAAATATGTCATTAAAATTTTGTTTAAATAGAGAATGATTTAGGATAAATATGTCATTAAAATTTTGTTTAGTGCTCATCCAAGGATAGAATTGGTATTTTGAAAAAATTTGTAGGCTTTGTTTGACATTCCGTCCAAATCAGGTCATGAGTAGCTGGAAAAGTTTTTCAACTGTAGTAGCATACTGAATCCAATGAAAGAAAAGTCAAACCCCATCTCCCAAACTAGCTATTAAAGTTTTTCACTTGCATGCCTTCCATTTTCCTCACTCCTTTAGATTAGCAGAATCAAACGCTTCCACTTCTGCTTACTTGTCAAGTTTCAACTTCCAACCCAATAATCAATCATCCCTTCCACTTCCAAATTTTAAGCACTGCAAGTAGGCTACCAGCAGCAGACGACCAAAGCTGAAGGACAAGCCATGGATTTCATATACAAGAATCCCACTGCGCCGATTGAAGCCCGAGTTCAAGACCTCCTTTCTCGCATGACCCTTGAAGAAAAACTCGGACAAATGACTCAGATCGAGCGTTCTGTCGCCACCCCTTCTGTCCTGAAAGACCGCTGCATAGGTCCCCATCAAGCCCACTTGCTAAAAGTTTGGATTTTTATGTTTTCAGGATGCATCTGACTAACTGAATCTTTTTCATTTTCAACAACGTGTTGCAGGAAGTATCATGAGCGTTGGCGGAAGTGGGCCGATAGAGATGGCGCTGACTTCTGACTGGGCTGACATGGTCGATAATTTTCAGAAGGCAGCATTGGAGTCTCGATTAGGTATCCCCATTTTATATGGGATTGATGCTGTTCATGGCAACAATAATGTCTATGGTGCCACCATTTTTCCTCACAATGTTGGCCTCGGAGCCACAAGGTTCGTTTCAACTTGTAAAGATCAAATTTTGTTTAGGACCTATAATTTCATGAATCGAATATAAACTCTATAATACTATTAGTCAATTAGTTGCATACAATGTGATTTAAGGGATTCTGAGTTGGCTAAGAGGATTGGGGTTGCTACTGCACTTGAAGTTAGGGCGAGTGGGATTCACTATGCTTTTGCTCCATGTGTTGCTGTATGTTCACTCTTCTTCTTCTTCTTCTTTTGTAGTCCTTTTCTTTTGTTACTTTGACATTGTCTCTTGGTAGTATAATATTGGTGGGATTTGCTTTATTCAGCTTGTTATGATTGGTTGGGCCTGATTTTCTTGCTTTTTGTTGATTTTTTTTGCAAAATATAAGGTACCAATTCAGTAGGCCTACAAGGCTGGAAAAGCCAATGATAATAATGATCATAATAATAATCTAAGATATATGTCTTAGCTTTTCAGAATGATTTTTCTTATTTCATGACAGGTATGTAGGGATCCCAGGTGGGGACGATCCTACGAGAGTTTTGGGGAGGACACTGAGATTGTTAGAAATATGACATCCATTGTCACAGGTTTGCAGGGACAAAGACCTGAAGGGCATCCGAAGGGCTATCCTTTTCTGGCTGGAAGGTTGGTAAAACTAACACTTTCTCACATCTCTTTGTGGTCCTCTAACTTAAAGAGATTGAATTCTTAATTGAGCATATACTGGACACTTGTTTCCAGTCCTGTGGTTAAGTCAGTTTAAAACCCCATATAACCATCACTAGAGTAGTTAATCATGAGCCAATTTAAACATTAAGAGTGAGCAGAGATTTAACAGAGTTTCTCATACCATGTCAAAACTTTTTACATGTATTTTGTGAAAGTGGCTCTTCTTATTGGTATAATATTATCATAGGCGATCCTATCCGCACTCACAGATCCCTTTCTCAACTTTCAGAGTTCAACTCTCAAAGAGTCTAGGATATCTATATGATTTTGCTTTAGTCATGATTTGTTTACTCAAGTTTGCAATTTTTTAACTCCAGAAACAATGTTGTTGCATGCGCAAAGCATTTTGTTGGCGATGGAGGTACTGACAAAGGTATAAATGAAGGGAATGCCATATTGTCATATGATGATCTTGAGAGGATCCATATGGCTCCTTATCTTGACTGTATTTCTCAGGGAGTTTGTACCATTATGGCATCGTACTCTAGCTGGAATGGGGTGCCATTACATGCTAGTCATTTTCTTCTTACACAAATTTTGAAAGAGAAACTGAGCTTTAAGGTCAGCCCATTACACTTCTTAGAAATTTCTCTATCAATATTATGTTGTTCCAGCAATAAATGTGCATTTTAGAGCTTTTATAGAATGTTGCTCAAATAGTTTCACTTGTTAAACTGGTTTGTAAAGTTAAATTATGCTGATACTGAATCTTGTTTGCTTTATTTTCTGGAAATAGAGAAAGAGGTCCCACTGCACAAAAGTTCATCTTTCTATTATGGAAATGATTACAGCATAAGTTGATATGGTAGATGCACTTCTGCAGGGCTTCATAATTTCCGATGCTGAAGGACTGGACCGGCTTTTTCATCCTCATGGATCTAACTATCAGCAATCTGTCCTGTCTGCCATCAATGCTGGAATTGATATGGTATAGAAATATTTTAAGTTCCACACGTGGGCTCTGACCTTTCTCGACAGCTATATGCACTCAGAGTGTGAATATGCAGGTCATGGTGCCTTTTCGATATCAGTTGTTTCTGGAAGATTTGACATATCTTGTGCAATCTGGAAAAATACCAATTGCTAGGATTGACGATGCAGTTGAACGTATATTGAGGGTGAAGTTTGCTGCTGGACTGTTTGAATATCCTCTGAGTGATAAATCCTTGCTGCCTGCAGTTGGATGCAAGGTAAGGTTGTTAAAATATCGTGTTTGGCTAAATATTGTAAAGTCCCTGTATTTATGCAAGTAGGGGATAATTACTCCACTGAACAGAATTAACCAGATCGACAACATCTTGACCCAGTGTGGCTGTCACTGTGGTTAGAGCACCTAATTCATCTCTCTCTGTTTATTTTCCGTCTGATTGTTGAGAATTCTTCTTAACATGAAATCCGTCAGATGCGAGCTAGCCATATTTCTAAGCTCTATCTGCTAATTTTTCCATTTTTTCCCTGGCAATAACATGTTTGCCAACAGTAGACACCAAAGCTGCACAAACGCACAATAAAGGGAATTTGCTTTTGCCTGAAGATTGCTCTGTTAAAAATTCATGGAAATGTTGGGTTATGCATCTTTATACCCCTGTGAGGAGGGATCTTGCTTAAGTTTCAAATTTTTGGTCACTGAAGGGGCGACTTGTCCTTTAGCATTTTAAACTCTTACAGTTGCTTTTTATTTTTTTATTATTTTTTAGGTGCTAAACTTACTTTTCATTTGTTGACAAATGTTCTTTGGAGCAATATATATATGGTTGAACAAAATAAGAAGAGCCTATTGGGAAGGGGAAAGAGGAGAAGTGGGCAGGGCTGCGGGGGTTCTGGAAAGCACAGGGCCATCTTTAACAAAGTATCTTGGTTTCTCTTTTTCACTTTCTTGTTGGGTTGTGATAATTTTTTCTTCTTTTTAACTTCTTTTCTACCCTTTCATTTGTCCATCCCTTGGTTGTTTTTGTGTATCCTCTTGTTCCTTTTCTGTGGAAACTGCAGTGCATAGAGGAACTATCAACCCATTTAGAACTAATGAGGTAATGGTTGCTTCATTATGAAATTTTGCTTTACAGGATCTTGTTAGATCACTTAAACTTAAATTAGCAGACCTTGATCATATATGGAGACTAGAGAGTCAACTTGAGCATCTGATCTTTGTCATTTTTATTTTTTCTTGAGGGACAGGATGATGAAAGGAACAAATTTGTATAGTTTTATTTCTAGCCTAAACACCTTTAATTTATAACAATTGTTTCAGCT